ATTATTATTATTATTATTATTATTATTATTATTATTATTATTATTATTATTATTATTATTATTAACACAACAACAGGAGAACGGTACAACAGAGGACTACTGAGGGAACAGCTACTCGCCGGAACAATGGAACAATGTGAAGATTTGTAAATAGGTTTTCTGAGGAGATTTCAATAAAGTTCTTGTTATCAAAAAAAATTATTATTATTATTATTTCAAACAATTTTAAAAACTTTTTAGTGTGTCGAAGAAATATCGAAGACGAGATGTCCACATTTTTTCTAGCGAAGCTGCTGCGGAGCCCCATACCTTACCATACCATCGATCTGAAAATTTTGGTTGTCAAGTAACTGTACGTACGTCCATAAGCCAATACAAGAGAGTAGTACCATCACCATAGCTACATCTTTGATGTTGGGCATCGATGTAATGGTTAATTGACAGCTGTCAAAACAAGCTATCCGCTGACCAGTATCAGGTGACCATATCGCTGGCTCAGGTTCAGAGTAAGCGTGCTTTTTGAAGTTGACCGCACACTAGAGACTAGTTTTTCGATTGAATTGCAGGCTCAAACCAGGTTATTACTCTGGGGGAGGAGGGAGTACGTTCAACGGCAAAATTTCGCCGCAAATTAACCCCAGGCACTTTGTTGACTTTTCTTCTGACATATTCCTTGCACAATCGTGTCATCAGTTTCTTAAAATTTGTAATAGTAATTGGACCGAGTGGAGTACAATTCAGGGAGTAATCGTGCGAGTAATTTCAAAATCGGACAAGCACGAAGCGCAAGGCCGATTTGAAATTACAAGCTATTGATAAGCTATCGATAAGCTATTGATTTGCTTGTAATTTCAAAAAGTAAGCCCTCCCTTTCTTTCCAGACAATTTGAGCAAATCAAACACAACCCACCCCACAACACTGTAGATTTGGGGCCAACATGGATGAGAAAGTAAGACATTGACTCCTCGTCTTCCCACAATTTATTGAAATTGAAGGCATATACGAATGCCCTGACCCGGACCGTGCAACTCCCACGCTGAGTCTGTGAAATGGCGAGTTATTTTTATACTAGCGTTTACCGCGAATTAGTTTTAGGTAAATAATTAATCACCGGCAATGGCGTAAGAGACTGTTAATCCGTAGCTAGGGTGGTTCATCCACACGGGAAATTAATAAATTAATGTTTTGAATGATTTTTTTCTGTCAATTTTTGTACCCTTCGCTTGAACCGACATATCTTGGATACAATTCAGTTTCTGTGGGCTTCCAAAGATAACAAAGTTACATTTGGAAGCGTTAAGAGTAAGGAAATTTCTGGAGAACCTATTAGGACACTGTTCCTAAGTCAGCATTGACATGATGATCGAGGTCACTGAGATTATCCGATGAGTAATAGATTACAGTATCATGGGCATACAGAATAATGTCACTTGCTTGGTCACAATCTGGAAGATCATTTATATGAATAAAAATAAGTAGCCGTCCCAAGATACTGCCTTGTGGTACCATAACAGACTTTTTGGTAGCTGAAAAAAGAGGATCTCCAACTGATGTGATTTGAAATCTATCAGTGACGTACCATCTAAACCACTGGATGGCAGAGGTGGTAAGACCAATGCCCGTCAGCTTTTGTAGTAAGTAGGTGACGGTCCACGATGTCGAAAGCCTTAGATAGGTCCAAAAACACAGCATTTGTAAAGCAACCTTTGCCCATATTCTGAAGGATATTGTTTGTGAAGTGAGCTAATGCTGCCCCAGTTTAAACCCCTTCTTAGTAAGTCAGTTTCCATTTATATATATATATATATATATGTCTGAATTTATGAAAACCGTGTTAAAGACTTTGCACCAAAATAGCG